CTGTCACTGTAAAAGTTGTACATTTTATATTTAATCTCTTTAATGAAGAATACATTTTGTTAAATAATTTTTTTAGTGTATTTTTACAAAAACAACGAAAATGACTCTTTTAATTTTCATGTATGCAATAAAGACAAAAACAAAGTTCAAAATGTGTCATTTTTTTAGATAAACGAAAAGTTTTTCTTTATCTTTTGAATGATTTAGATTGTTATCGTCGAAATTCCGTTTTTTTTGTAATTTATAAATTCCATTTTTGAAATAAGACCCAAGCTTCAAATTTAAATTAAGTTTATACAATAACTAAGAATTCATTTTGTCAAAAATGTATTAAAAGACAAAATAAATAAACTTAAATTATTATCACAACATTTTTGGTTATAATCCCTTTAACCATTGACGTGGAAAATATTTTTAACAAATTGTTATTGACTAGACAGAAATATTTTCTGGGTAAAATGTTTTGTAAAAGTTATACTGTGATACAAACTTTGTTTGTATTATTCTTTGTTTTTTTTCTATTCATTATAAATTAACAATGGTTGTAAAAATACTGAAATTGTTCAAAGCTCTTTCGAAGTCAAGGTGGCAATAATGAGACATAAAAAAATACATTAGTTTGTCCAAGGAAAATATATCTAAAATTAACTTCATTATAATAATTAATTGTTTCATTTCAAAGAATACAACATGTTTTGTTGTATTTTTTTCAGCTTGACTGGATCTTTTCAATTTTCTAAAAATACTTGTTAACAAAAACACTTATAATTTAAATATAAGACTTTACATTATATAACTTTTTTTCTGTCACTGTAAAAGTTGTACATTTTATATTTAATCTCTTTAATGAAGAATACATTTTGTTAAATAATTTTTTTAGTGTATTTTTACAAAAACAACGAAAATGACTCTTTTAATTTTCATGTATGCAATAAAGACAAAAACAAAGTTCAAAATGTGTCATTTTTTTAGATAAACGAAAAGTTTTTCTTTATCTTTTGAATGATTTAGATTGTTATCGTCGAAATTCCGTTTTTTTTGTAATTTATAAATTCCATTTTTGAAATAAGACCCAAGCTTCAAATTTAAATTAAGTTTATACAATAACTAAGAATTCATTTTGTCAAAAATGTATTAAAAGACAAAATAAATAAACTTAAATTATTATCACAACATTTTTGGTTATAATCCCTTTAACCATTGACGTGGAAAATATTTTTAACAAATTGTTATTGACTAGACAGAAATATTTTCTGGGTAAAATGTTGGTCTCTAGCTATATTCTACGTATATCATTTTTACTAGTCTACATATAAATGACTATACACAAATATAGTTAAGTTTCCACTTATATAAATCATATTTAAAATTGCTATATATTTCATTACATGTCTGTTTTCCTATTGCATTTTTTGAGGTTGTTAATGTTTTCATCGCTATATCTAATTTATGATCTGTACCTGATGTGTAAAAATGATTTCAAAAGCTTTTTTCGTGTGAAATTGTAAGAATTTCATTTTTAATATTTTTGCTGACGTGTATAGAAAATATTCAAACTTATAGAAATCATAAATAATTTAATGTTTTTTCTTTAATTGAATATTTTGTTGATACTACAAACAAAAACTGTTAATAATTAGTATATCTTAATTAATAAAATCACGCACGAACTTGTTTTGTTAATTAATTGCATTGTATTAAATTACTAGTAATGATTAATGTCATTATTTTCATTTGCAACTAACAAAATATTGAGGTAACATAAAAGTAATGAGATATTGTTGAATAACACAAACATAATGACGTTACTGGAAGACAAATTTTTAATGAAAAAATATAGTACAAACCAAACTACAGGGTGTTCTACATTGTTACAAACAATGAGAACAATAGAAACCCGTTTCCTGACTTACTGAACACCCTGTATATCTACTTATTGTACATGACACGAGCCAATTTAAATTCGGGTCATATAGAGACAACTATAAAGGACTCTTAAAAATCATTAATTGTAATATATGTAAAAATATATTCATATTATTAAAACTCTCAAATTTCTAAATATGTTGAATATTAGTATGGAGTTATTCAGTAAAAGCGTAAAAATATGAAATAAGAAATGCAATAGTAAAACTCTGATAAAACTTTAATAATGCTCACTATGAAAGTTTTGAGTAATTTCTCAAATGGCAAAAAGAGTAGAGTAACGATCCAGAGTATGACTTGACTGTCGAATAGAAAGACTTTACGATGGTTCTACAATATTGAAATACCTCGACTAATAGGAAAAGTTATGGCTGTGTTATTGGGAGATGTTCTTTAATAGCTTCAGACTTTCTTTTATCTTCTAATTTCTTTCGTATTTTTTTGGTTTTGTTTTATATTCTGCCTTGTCTATTGTGTAAACTCGTTGTCTGAAGAAAAACTTTTCAATTTGAATATAACACGATATCTCTATCGTAACTTTAGCACTGGGTTTATTACGAGAAGACATGATTGCATTAAAAATCTAGTAAATGGCAAAAATTATTGAGGTATTTTAACATTTATACTCTATTTATCTTATAGTTTTTTCTGGAAAATTACATGACCTAGGTTAGATTGCATTTATCCATCAGAGAATTACTGTATATAAATTTATTTTTCTTTAATAGTTTATTGTATATTATCGTAAATTAGAAACATTTAAATCATCATTTAAATAGTAATTAAGTTATATATTTAAAAAATTTGCAATATATGATTTCTAAACACTATTAACCTACCATTTGTTAAACATAATAAAATTTTGTAGTTAATTTCTTAATTAAATTATTTGACCTTATATGTATTGTATTTGTGCTATACATTCACATAATTAACTATAATTTTTGGTGCTGATTATGTGTGATCATCATCAAAATAATATGATATTGTAACAATGGTATATATTTACATATACGTTTATTACTTCTTAAGGTCTTTAAACCTCTTTCATGAGTATAACGTCTACGTTCACTTCTCTTACTAATCCAATTCACTATACGATGCATAATTAAACACCGCTTACATTTATTTACCAAGCCACTATGTCATTTTACCACATTTGTAGTTAAGAGGAACCGAAAGTACTCTTAAACACATGTAAATTACTTTTGTTTAACCTTTCAAAAATATAATATTTCACACTTCAAATTGGCTATAAATAAATGGTAAAAAAAATTAGTGTTTTTAAATTCAATATTTATTTACAATCATAAATAAAAATATATTAGTTTTAGTAAAACTGATATAAATTATAATATATGTCTTATTAATTTAGTAATATTTTTATTTAAAAATAATTATGAAGAATTATTTTACCTGACACAATGTTTGTGCTCTTTAACAATGTGATAAAAAGAGCCTCTGCGCTTAATGATAAATAAAAAAATCTATTAGAGACTTTTTTTTGTAAATTAATTAAATTATTTATTTTAAAATTAAAAAAGATGATATGTATAAAATTTTATTGGAAAAAATATTAGTTGTTCTTTAAATTTAAATTTAATTTTTTAAAGTTATATTAATTAAATTTTAACTAAAGATTGGTTTTATTATACAAAGGTGATAATTTTATCATTCAATGATATCGTTCGTGCCTGATAAATGTGAAAATCTTTAAATCTCTTTACTTCATTCGTCTTAGTTAATTTTAACTGATACGGTTAATTATTTTAATAAAATGCAACTTCTAACGGTTTTCCTTCTCATTTACATTGTTGTTTTTTATTACCACCTGTTAGCTCTAAAAATATTTATGTTAAGTATAAACTAACTATAAACTTTAAACTAACTGAATATTTGTCAAAAAATTCTATACATATAATATACAAAAACACTATGTTCTATGATTCGCTTAGATCATTGTTTGATTTCAAACGTTTTATGATTTTACAATAAAAAATGGGAAAATTACATGTGCGTGACATTGGAACGTGTATCAATAAAAACAAAAAATCGATAAAAAATTCAACATATATAATCATACAGAGATACTATTCGAGGTCTTCAAAAAAGGCATTGAAAAAATTTATATGACGATATATAGTAAATTATTCCTTCTGGCCTAAGCAATAACTTTTAGAGAGGACATTAAATATAAATAATTAAATATTACATAGTATACTAATTTTCTAACCATTTGTATTCCTGAATAAAATATTATACGATATTATATCCAAAAATTTGAAACTACAAAGTTTTTATAAAATAACAAATTATTTATATATACAGGTCTATTCTTTTATCATGAACCGCTTAATTAATCAAAAAATAAATTTAATATTAATAATGTTTTCTTTGTTTGTTTAACTACATGTTTTCTCAAAATATTAATCATGAAGTTTTTCTTTATGTTCATCCCTTATTCTTTATAAGGGTATCAAATGAATTTGTTCAAATGGCCACATGCATAATTAACTAGCTCATTCGTTAGATAATGATCTAAATAAGAAAAAGGCTGATCGACAACAACTGTTCGATCAATATTTTAAAATTTTTTTTATCGACATTTATATGCTAAAGCGAGGAAAAGAGTTCAACTGAAAAATATACAATGATAAAAACAGTTATATCTAAGCCTCTCTTTAGTATACATTTTAAAAACGTTATAACTTCCTAATTATTAGCCCAAAAGTTGTTATCAACCGTCCTTGCCTTCATTAGATTCCATTTTATTTAGTAGACTAATTTAATATGTATTAGAGTTAAAAGAAAATTCATACTCTCACAGAGTATAAGAGATGAACCAAAAAATACTAATAATTGATAAATCAAGAAGTGAATGTGTCTAAGAAAAGGAAAAAAACATTTACGAAATGAACATTATTTTGTAAGTAGTTTAGTAAATTATTATAAACGAATCATTCTGCCGTAATTTTGGTCTTTTAGCGGTCTGAATATTAGAATAGAAAAAAAATGTATACAATATGAGATGGACTTAATTTTAATGGATGATGTCGATTGAAAACTTAAAATACCTTTGCTGTACGAATAGCCGTCCAATATTTTGCAACTGAATTTCTTGTATTTACAGGAATGTGTGAAACTGAGCAGAAACTGAAGATAGAACTAGTAACTTAATGAAGGTACTTCACCACACGGATGAAATATTAAGGTACAAATCTAATCGAAAAAAAAAATAAATAAAAAAATTATTGCTACCGGTGTCTGGGAAATTAATAAGTTTTATCGGCACTCGTTTATCGCGAACTTAAGAACTCAAAGGACCTGAAATGATGATGAAAACACAACACGACTTTCGATCGTACTTACGAATGATTATACGAACACGCTCATCGAGAGTGTCATCCGGACTGTTAACGTGCAAAGGCGCCCGAAAGAGTATCGCAACTGCGGTGGTTACACGCTTTGGATTTGACCATACACTTTTAACAACCACCTCAACAAGCAAGCGCTATTGGCGTTTCATATGAAAATGTTTCGCTTGATACGTTAACACTCGTGAATGCCTATATTAATCTCATATTAATTAATAACAGGTGTTCTTGAATGAACGGGTAAATTATACAGCGAAAACTTAACAAATACATCCGGACTGTCCATAAGAATGGTTATGGAAAGATAAACGCCTAAAAAAAATACCATTAATTCCAACGTATATTTAATAATAGAAAAAAAATTGCTTTTCTAAAATATTGATTATTTTAATTATGTAGTGTAAAAACATTTTATGTACCAATCGCAATATTTAACAATACACAGAAGCACTTTCTAATTTTGTAAGATGGGTAGACAATTTTTATTGGTATCGAGTAACCTTTTCAATTTTTGTTATTTAAGTATTTAACAATCGTCATAAGATTAAAAAAAAAGTAAACACGATTTTGGTTGGTATAAATTTTACATATTTTTTAATAATCATTAATATTCTGTGATGTAACTACATCACATATTTTTACATATGTAAAAATATGTCATTAGATATTTTTTATGGCAAATTTGATTGTATGTTGTTACTTGAAACGTTTTTATTTGATTTTTAAGCAACTTCTACAAAATTTAATGTAAATTTTACAATATTCTTTTGCTAACGCTTTTTTAAAGCAAATACTAAGAGTAACTACAACTATTTTTTATGAGACAACGCTAAAATTAGTTTTAGAAAAAGTAACCAAAAAGTTACGAAAAAGAAAGTTAAAGTGGTCTCTTTTTATAGTTTTGCGGTCTTTTACATTATAATGCAGTGTTGTTATTTTTGTAGCTTTTGACTGTAACATTCTTAAACATAAATTTTTTAGTAGTATATGTATCATCGATTTTGAATGAGACATTTATTTTCTCAGAACATATTTCAAATTTTTTATCTTTGTAAAAAATTATTTGGTCAAAAAAAACTAAAATTTTATATAGTCAAATAATTTTTTTTTTATCCCTTCAGAGATTTTTAACTTCATAATATGATAAACAAAAATATTACATACAATTTTGTTTTTATAATTTTTATTATCTGATCAATCATTTTTTTTTGTTGCTCCATGTTACATTTAGTAATTTGAGATTAATTTACTAATGTATTTCATTGTTAAAAATAACAGACATCTTCATTTTCAATTATGTCACATAAACTAGTTTTTGTTGACTAATGTATTATCTTATATAAGATCATTTTATCTTAAACAATTCGTGTCAATTAATAGCTGCTTACTCTTAATATCAACTCTTATTATGGTATATTTTTAGTCATCATCGTGGAAAATTTTTGTTTATAATTATCATAAAATGGCCTATTAAATTAGATTATTACCGCCTCCTCCATTATTAAGAAAATGAAATTAATGATACATTTATACTTTAAATTCAAGTTTTCAAATTATCTTAAAACGCAAACGATTTATATGAAAAAAATTATAATAACAAAATTGTTTGTAATTTATATTCTCTACTGATCTATTATTGTCAAGTTAAACATAAGGGTTATCATTTAAAAAAATTAAAGTTAAGGTTTTGTATCTTTGATGGGATAAAAAAAATACTTGACTACATAAAATTGTAGAGTTTTTTGGACCAAATAATTTTTGTATTAATAAAAATTATATTTTAGCTTCGATGCGAAGCTTAGAAGGTATTGGTTTTACTAAGATGTGTTTTTTTTTTTTTTGTGTCTGTTACCACTTTTTCTCAGCTCTCACCGAACCGATTTCTTTCAATGATACGTCAAAAGATCACAAATTGTATCTAGTCGAAGACATTACCCTTCAAAATTGAAAAAATTTCCCTCGTTCCCCGTAAATGGGGGAAACCTCCAAAAAAATTACAAATTTAAAAATCGCTAATTTTTTCAATTTTTTTAATTTTTTTAACTTAAAAGTGCCATAACTTTTTCAAAAAAGACCGAATCAATATAACTTTTTTTTGTATAGATACGTGAGGTACTTACCTATCATTTGGTATCTTTTTTTTTATAAATTTAACCCTTAACCTGCCCACAGGGAGGGATTTAAAATGACAACTTTTTCACAAAAAATTAATTTTTTTAACTTAAATTTTGAAAATGTTCCGGAAGGTCTGACACTTTTATATATATCTTAAATTAAAGCTAAT